AAAAAAAAAAAAAAAAAAGAAAAAAAAGAAAAAATAGCACCATTGCAGCCCCTTAAATGTACTCTCCACTCTTCTCACTAAGGTGGCAGTCAGCATCCTCAGTGAAAGACCGAGCAGAGCCTTTCAACCATCGCCAATGAGTCCTGCCCTGTGGCCTCAGCCAGGAGCCTCTGCCAGCTCCTCTGACAGCATTTGGGTCCCGTTGAGCAGTTGTTTCTCCTCTCCCCTCACTTACTTGTTAACTTCATCCTCGATCTTGACCCTCTGGGGGTCCAGTGGGCCCTTGTAGTCTTTGGACCATTGAAACTCTGAGGAATCTGGGGCTTCAGGGGCTTCGAAAGCCAAATAGATAAAGCCCTCTTCATCCACACCAACCTCGATCTCATGGGCATCTAAGGGCAAGATCCAACAGAGGGCAGTGGATGTTTATGCATAATAAACCAGGTCATATCCCTCCCGTGCTTAAAGCTCCAGGGACTGCCCATTGCACTTAATAACAATAAACTTGACTCCTTCCTGCGGCTGCCAAGGCCTTGCATGATCTGGCTCCTTCTCAGCTCAAATGTCACCTCCTCAGAGAGGCCGTCCTTGACTGCCTTTGCTAAGCAACCTTGCCCCTTTCTATCACCCTGTTTTATTTCTTTTATAATAAAGCACTTATTCCTATCTTAAATCGCTTTCCTCATGCAATAGTTTACTTGTTTACTGGCCTCTGCTCCCCTTGACCCCTACACTTTCTCATTCACTCCTGTATTCCCAATGCAATGTGGGGATCACTAAATATTTGTTAAATGAATGAATAATTAAAAGAATGGAAAGAGAACATGCTTTATATAGTTGGGAGAGCTGAGTGATTCTGTCATATACCAGCGTGTGACCTGATTAAACTTCTCCGGCCTATAATAAGATCAGTGCCAATGTGGGATGACGACCCCTCCCTCAGGGGCTTGCTGGAGGGCCAGAGAAGTGTGGGGCCTACCACAGCATCAGGCTTCTCCCAACTTCCCTTCAACCCCACCCGTCCTGATGGCACAGCCCAGCGGCAGAGCTCTGGCCTCTCCGGCCACCCCTACCTGGCTTGTCCTCCAGGAGCACGGGATCAGTGGGCATGGACGGTTGCCCCAGACCAGCTGAATTCATGGCCTGTACCTGGAACACATAACTCTTTCCTGGCTGCAAGTCAGAAACCTGGGAGCAGAGGGCAAGAACCAGCAGTGAGGACACCAGTGACTCTTCCTGAAACCCAGGACCCAGGGTGCAGGGAACCACCCAGGGTGCAGGGAACCACTCAGCAAGAAAATCCTCTCTCTTCCTGTGTCCCTTGTCTTTCCGTGTGACACAGACGTCCATTCAACATTCAGGGATTGTCTTTGCCATCCTTTTCTTGGGCCCTCTCTACCAAGCACCAGGTTCCATCTGTTTTATTTCCCTAACATTTCTTTTTCTTTTTTTCTGAGATGGGGTTTCGCTCTTGTCGCCCAGGCTGAAGTGCAGTGGCACGATCTCTGCCCACTGCAACCTCCACTTCTCAGTTTCAAGCGATTCTCCTGCCTCAGCCTCCCAAGTAGCTGGGATTACAGGCGCCCGCCACCACCCCCGGCTAATTTTTATATTTTTAGTAGAGACAGGGTTTCCCAATGTTGGCCAGGCTGTCTTGAACTCCTCACCTCAGGTGATCCACCTGCCTTAGCCACCAAAAGTACTGTGATCACAGGCGTGAGCCATTGTGCCTGGTCTTCCTAATGTTTCTTAAAAGTGGCCACTTCCCTCCAGGTCCTAGCCACGGCTGTGATGGAGGCTTCGTTTCTCCTTACCTGGGGTAATCCAACAGTTTCCTAAAGGGCATTTTTGCCCTGGATGCTTCTCCCCACTGTCTATCTTTCCCTCTGCCAATCTGATGATGCTTACATCTTTTAGTGGCCTTCACGGTCAAGTTTAAATTTTAAGGTTGAATACATCTAGTCTTCCTAACCTGGCTTTCGCCTGTTGTCCTCTTGCCCCTCCATCTGTCCCCTTCACTCCACAGCTCTCTCAGCGTCCCCACATCCATCGCATCATTTCACACCTCCCTGCCTTTGCCCTTGCTGGCTGGAATGCCCTCCCGCCTCCCTCTCTGACTCACTCCAGTGTAGCCCATGCTTCACCACCCAGTTTGGGCAGATGCATGGATTCCAGGAAGCCCCTCGCACCTTCTCCTTTGAGCATCCAGAGTTCCTGAGACCTCCTCCATTGCAGCATTTGTCACACAGTATTGTCAGTGCCTGCTACCCAACAACTGTGACTTATTTAGCTTCTCATGCCTAGGAATTGGTCCAGGCCTGGCATTAAAGCGGTGTGAAGAAGTGTTTAGCCAATAACTTCCCGACTGAATGGCGGCCAACTGTCCACATGCAGAAGCCGGTGCCAGGTCACCTAGGCTGTCCGGCCCCGGCCTGGGCCAACCTACATGCGGACGGGCTGAGAACTCTCATACAGGTGAAGACCTCAAGGTCTCAGCAGAGTCCCCTGGCTGAGACTCGTCTTCCCGGATTCTGTCTGAGGTGACCTTATTTCATTGTTTTGTAAAATGAAAATATTTTAACTTTTTCCGATTATAAAAGAAATACACACTAGTTGGGGAAATTTTTAAGTAATAGAGTAGAACATGAAATGAAGGACTAAAGCTTCCCTGGCAGGCCTTCCTCCAGAGATAACCAGAATGAACAATTTGGTAAAAATCTTCGTAGACTTCCTTTTTTTTTTTTTTTTTTTTAGATGGAGTCTTGCTCTGTCACCCAGGCTGGAGTGCAGTGGTGGGATCTTGGCTTACTGCAACCTCCGCCTCCTGAGTTTAAGTGATTCTCCTGCCTCAGCCTCCCGTGTAGCTGGGATTACAGGTATGTGCCACCACACGTGGCTAATTTTGGTATTTTGTTTTTTTGTAGAGATGAGGTTTCACGATATTGGCCAGGCTGGTCTTGAACTCCTGACCTCAGGAGATCCGCTCGTCTCAACCTCCTAGAGTGCTGGGATTACAGGCATGAGGCCCCTGCGCCCGGCCAAAATCTTTTTAGACTTTGACCAGCCCATAATCTGCCTAGAAACAGGATATGCACGGTATCCTATTTGTGAATGTCTTATTCTTTCCTATTGTTTTGGGCTTCTTGAGCCAGCCTTCTTTCCTCTGGGTGCTCCCTAGTGAAATGTTGACCAATGAGCTTGAAAACTGCATATCCTCCTGCCTGCTGGGGAAAAGCACCCAGGAAAACAGGCTGGAGAAATACTTTCCCTTTCCCTAGGGCTGCAGAAAATGGAACCTAATTCACATTACATTCTTTTTTTTTTTTTTGAGACGGAGTTTCGCTCTTGTTACCCAGGCTGGAGTGCAATGGCGCGATCTCGGCTCACCGCAACCTCCGCCTCCTG